GGTATATTACATTTGAAATTAAAAAAGCTGTGAAGTACATACTTCACAATCACTTCCGAATCTTAGACTTAAAAGTGTAGACCTATTAATCAAATTGATCGATACATGTCACTACAATAAATATCACCAATTCCAACGAAGCATAAAAGCGATGTCTGCTCTTCCAATCCATTCATCTTTCAGGATCAAATTTTAGGGTTTAGGGTCAAAAAAGGTAAAGTAATCTCTAGGAATCTTGTAGTCTCTATATCGGCCCTTAAATGTTGGATTTTCTAGAGTTAAGCTACTGTACACCATCGTTTAGAGCGGTTGGAGACGAGTTATGCAAGAATTACACTAAAGTGGAAAAGTAGGGGGTATTGTTTTACTTTTGTATTTACGACGGCGTGGTTGAAGATAGCCGATAGCACCGTTATCTCATCCTCATTGAAAACCGTTTTCATAATCAATTGATTTTTGAAATGGTCCTAAAGTGGTAAACCATGCTTTATGTCGACATATAAGGTAAGCATAATCACAATCAAGAACCCATATTCATCATCAATGATGGTATATCCAACAATAACAACAAAGACCTCTTATTTAGAACTTCATTGGCTTAGTTTGTAGAATTGTCATCTTCTTTACCCTTGAATCTATTTAAGTCTCACCCTTTTATTTATAATATATGTGTGTCTAGTTCATCGAAAAGTACCATTTGTTTCATATTTTTCCTTAGCATACAAGGTTTCATAAAACTCACTGAGAGTGCGGGTAATAACTATAAAGTATGGTGTTTCTCAAATTGGAATATGAACCCGATAATGAAACAACAAAAGCAAACCCAAATGTTCCTCATTATACCTCACTTCCATCATTTCCACATCAGAAATTTTCTCTTTGAAATCAAAAAATATGAATGATAAGGTTTCATTCATCATGTAATTTGTATAGAAACAACTTGTGCTATAAATGCATTTTAATTGGTAATTTTTTTTTCATCCATATAGATTTCAGTTTGAGCCAAAAAGCAGTTTCAATATTCTCCTTTAGAACTTCTAGCTTGTAGAATGTTGGGAGAATGAAGTTGAATTTGAAATAGGTCTTTATAATATTTCTCTTTTTTCTTAGTCTAGTCTGATTTGATTTTTGGCTTTAAAAAGAATTCAATGAATCATCATAATTTGCTTAAGTCACTAATGCTCTAATCTTAACTTGCCATAAAGAAAAACTGGTATCACAAACTAATAGTGGCAGATCATATTTCATTGATGTCATTTTCTCAATGACACCTTAAAAGGTATAAAAGACAACTAATTTGAAAGTACGCATGCTTAGAGAAAATCAACAAAACCTGCATCGGTGTAGGATAAATTGACAAAACCTTTGCATGTTTAAGAAAAAAATCAAATGAAGGAAACCTATGTAGGCTTAGAAAATTGATATTATCTTGATTTAACACATTTCAAGAATTTGCCTATGATAACACTCGTTTTCCAACCCCAAACCGTGAACCTGAATTTCAAGATCACCCTAATCCTCCTTGTTTCCTGTTAACCCTGATTGGCCCTAAATTCTCAGTTTAACCTTGTTTATCATATTTTTCATTCATTTAGTTTGTTTAACCTTACCTAATACACTAACTTTTCATATATATATATATATATATATATATATATATATATATATATATATATATATATATATATATATATATATATAAAGTAGACAATACTACTCTAATTTTAATATTTCTATTTATAAATAAATATAGTTAAATAGAAGGTAATTATTATTATTATTATTATTATTATTATTATTATTATTATTATATATATACATATAAAGGTTGTAAAAATCGTTCGTTTATAGCTCGACGGTCGACTGATGTTAAGGGGATAATCGGTCTTGGCGGAGATTAAACGGGGATTAACCGCGGACCATAAATTATTAATAAAATATTAAAATTAATCAAATATTAATATATCTTAAGAAAAACAATTACTTCAAAATTAGAAAATAAGAAAGTTTGTAATTTGAAATTTTGAAAATACAAAAATATGAACATTTTGGTATAATATTTGAAATTTTGAAAATTTGAAAATTTTGGAGTAAAAATTTTTGATTCTTTGAATTTTTTTTTAAAGTTTTTTAAAAAATTTTGACATTTTTTTTGAATTTTTTTTATTATTTTTTTTAGTTTTATTGACCGATTAATCCCCCAAACCCAATAAATCCTAAATTTCCGATTAGTACCGTAATCCTCAGCGGGTGGAGAACGCCAAACGATATATATATATATATATATATATATATATATATATATATATATATATATATATATATATATATATATATATCCGGTAAAAAAAAAATTGGTAGGAAGGTAAGAAGTTTTTTTTCTACATATTTTTTTGATGAACAAAATAAATGAATCACTAGATGATTCATGTGTAAGATGATTCACAAAGAAAAAATTCCCAAAAAAATATCTTTATGATTCATTTTTATGTAATTAAGAAAAAATTCATTTTTATGATAATTTTAATGAATAACAACAAAGTCATTGTATAAATGAATCATCGAGATGTTTTTTTGATAATTTTTTCTTATGAATCATCTTACAAGTGAATCATCTAATGATTCATTTTGTTTGTTCGCGAAAAAAATATGTAGAAAAAAAACTTTGTACCTTTCTACCAAAAATTTCTTTCTTATTTGATTTTGACTATATATATATATATATATATATATATATATATGGGTGGTGGGGAGTGGGGGACATATATTCAAACGGGGCTCCCCATTCTGTCCCTGCCTCTGTCGCTCCCCCATATCCCAAAAACATTGCTAAATACCCTTCGTACTGAAATTGAGCGTCACCGTGGTTTTTGACATCCCTAGATAAAGAGAATCAACTAGATGAACCAGAACATGAAATTTTGGAAGGAAACCCTTGCGAGAAAAACTAGAACGCACTTTAAATACAGTGTGACTAGCTCATAACTCGTAAGAACCGCAATTATAAAAATAATTAATTTTTTATAGTAAAAACTCATAATTATTAATCAATTGTTTTCAATTATTAGTTAATTAAACATGATTTTGTAGGATTTAATTAAAGAAATACAGTTAACTTTCGGCAATGATAACTGAAACTTATTAAAGACAAATTTAAATAGTTGCGTAGTAACAAAAAAAAACAAAAAAAAAAAAAAAAAAAAAAAAACAACAACAACAACAATAATAATAATAATAATAATAATAATAATAATAATAATAATAATAATAATAATAATAAATAAATAAATAAATAAATATTTACCAAACTATTATCAACATCAATACTTTTAAAAAATATGATGAGAAAATGACAAATGTCAATTTTATAGAAACTTTGAAAAAAAGAAAGTAAATTATGAGAAAGTGACAATTGACAATAAAAACTATTATGTTTTTTTGTATTTTTCTAAATTCTACGTAGCATTTTAGATGAAATAATTGCAATAAATTTAATTATAAATGAAAATCAATTTTATTAGTGGCCTTACTTTTTAATTTTAAAATTCTTAAATTACGTCTTATTAGTTTCATTTGTTTGTTTACGTAAATTATTTATTTAAATTTATAAAAGAAAAAATACTTTAATTTTGATAATTCAATATTTAATTTTCTTATAAATTCAACTATACAAATGTTTAAAGTTTCATATTTAATTTTCTTCTAAATAAATCTATGTAATATATCGGTCTTATACCTAACTTATTATTATAAGAAGATTAGAACAATTAATCTAAGGCTATATTTATCAGCTAACAAAGTTTAATCCTAAAATAATATAAAGACTAATAATTAGCTACCAAATAGTGGAAATGTATGAGAAATTAAATATCCTCCTAATTTTTCTTTCTATTATCTTCCTAGCCATATACAATGTAACACGAGTCACATTTTGATAAAATCTACTCTAATAGATAAAGATATTTTTGCCACATGTCATACTCTTATTATTTTTTTTTAAATTTTATTTTGTGGTTATTTTATATTATTATTTTTTCCTCATATCATTTTGTGATTTTTTAATTTTATTAAACTTCACATAATATATAATTTAATATTTAGAATAAATGTAATAATAAATAAATATCAATTTTATTAATGAACTAACCTTCTAATTTCTAAATTTCTAAATTAAGGCTCTATTAATTTATTTTATTTATTTATCTAAATTATTTGTTTATCTTTAAAAGAGAAAAAACAATTCAATTTTATTAATTCAATATTTTTCTAATTTTTCAAATAAATTTAAATTTCTGAAATATTTAAACCTTTGTATTTTTTTCTAAATACACCCATGTTTAAAAGATATTTGTCATAATTTTACATTGGTAGGTAATTTTACATTAGTAGGATGATAAGTACGAAGAAAAGTGATAGGATATTTAATTCATGATCCTTAAGACTTGGAAACCAATAAGAAACAATATTACTCCTAAAGAGGAAGAATTCAACTCACATGTCAATGCCTAGCTATCAAGTAGTATCGGTTTTTGTTGAATGTTGGTAATAAACAACTAAGATATTTACTTGCAGTAGGTTGTAAAAATGGTCATTGTGAAATTTTCCGCAGAAACAGATTCATTAGCCAATTTCAAAAGGCCTATTGCGACAACATGTGGCTATAGTAATTATTATTTTTACATATGTATATTTAGATGTAACAGTACTTAAGGAAGTGTTTTTCACATATGTTTAGTATCAAAAAGATTACTGTATCTGCATGTCAAGATAAATAGTGGAGAAATGAAGTATAGTTTACTTGTATTTGTTGTAGTGAGCTATACAATGAAACCCCAATTGTATTTATTTCTATACTGTTCTAAACAGTTTTTTTTTTCTTTTTTTGTCTAGATGAGAGCTGAATATCAGATTCCTTCACCACTCATTCCAACACGAGAAAACTATTTCGTTCGGTATTTGGTGATGGGACGTGGGCGGTTGTTGATGTATCCAATGATAATATGGGCTCATCGTCAATTTTAAGATGTAGGAGAAGGCCCTCTGGCTGCTTGATTCAAGAACTTCCTAATGGTTACTCAAAGGTACACTCTCTAGCTTCAATCAATGTATTATTTTAGCTTTGATGAAGTAAACGGATTTCACAAATCATGTCTGGTTTTTGTTTTCCAGGTCACTTGGATTGAACATGTTGAAGTTGATAATGGGGACGTTCATGATATCTATAAGGTACTAGTAAACTCTGGTCTTGCATTTGGTGCAAAAAGATGGGTAGCCACTTTAGATAGACAAAGTGAACGACTTGCAAGTGCAATGGCTAGCAATATTCCTGCAGGAGATGTCGGAGGCAAGTGTCCTAGTTCACAATCATATCTTTCCTAGTATCTGATTAAAGACGTTTTCTAGTATCGTTTAATAAAATCAATTATTGATTATCCTATTCATTCTTTTTATAGTTATAATGTCTCCAAAAGGGCGAAAGAGTATGTTAAAGTTAGCAGAAAGAATGGTTTTGAGCTTCTGTAGTGGGGTTGGTGCTTCGACTGCTCACACATGGACAAGTTTATCTGGTAGTGGAGGAGATGATGTGCGTGTAATGACCCGAAAGAGTGTAGATGATCCAGGCAGGCCTTCTGGTATTGTGCTAAGTGCTGCAACTTCATTTTGGTTACCAGTTCACCCAAAACAGCTTTTCAATTTTCTCTGTGATGAGAACTCTAGGAATGAGGTAATTATGCAGCTAGCCTTTAATATAAAACCTTATATATATTCATATGAAATTAGCTCTTTAATTCTATTTTATACATCCAGTGGGACATCCTTTCGAATTGTGGGCATGTTGAAGAAACCGCACACATTGCCAACGGCCGTGATCTAGGAAATTGTGTTTCCCTTCTGCGTGTTAATGTAAGCTCTAGAATTTCATATATCATCATGCAACTTAATAAATAAACATCTTAATCAATTTCCAATTTATTAATCATGACTTTCAAGTTGTTTACCTTGTAGAGTGCCAATTCAAGTCAGAGCAACATACTCATCCTACAAGAGAGTTCAACCGATTCTACAGGTTCATATGTTATATATGCACCAGTGGATATTGGTGTGATGAATGTTGCATTAAATGGAGGTGATCCAGATTATGTTGCGTTGCTTCCATCTGGTTTTGCCATACTTCCTGATGGACCAGTAGATTATGAAGGAGGAGCTCTTGTTAGTGGAACTGGTGGATCATTACTCACCATCGCATTCCATATTTTAGTAGATTCGGATCCTACATCCAAATTGTCACTAGGATCGGTGGCAATAGCTAATAGTCTTATTAAGTCCACGGTTGAAAGAATCAAAGTTGCAGTAGCTTCTAACATGAGTAAAGCAATGGGGATTTAATAAGGTAAAACAGCCATCAACCTCACTTGGTTACATCAGATCTCAAATTATTCATTTTTTTAACACGCATTAATTAGGTTAACCCAAATAGTGTAGTGGTGGTGCATGGTGGAGGGGTGTTGCACTGACGTGGCTACTCCTACGCGTGGTGTATACCTTATCAGTCACATACTAATTGGGGTTATAACATTTTGTTTTAATTATATCTCTGCATTTATGTACCTTGCAGTGGTGTGAAGGAAAGGGGAAAACATCTTTGAAGGCGAAAATTTCTCTGTTATCTTTAAGAATAGATGAAAGAAGTCAAGAACGAACCAGAACGATCCATCCATTAGAAATTTTCAAGGTTTATCAATGTTCGGGTATTGACTTTGCATATCTTGAAGATTATACAGTAAATTTAGACCTTGTCGATTAAATACTAGTTAAAATTCCCAAACACTTTTTTTTTTCTGTTGGGTTTCATTAGAGATTTTCAGTCTTTTGTGTTGTCTGGATTAGAAGTAAACTGGTAACCTGGATTAAGCTACATGCAACAACTCTTACTTCCGGCTTAGAACTTGTATCCAATGTTTAGCTATTCCTTGGTTTAATACTTATGTTAGGAAATAAATTTCAGGTTTTCACTTTATATATATATATATATATATATATATATATATATATATATATATATATATATATATATATATATATATATATATATGATTTTTAATTTTGTTAGATTAAAGGTTGTGGTGCCATGAATTGACTTTCTCAATTGGTGCCACATAGACACCATTTAGGATGCCTCCAACATTCATCATTTGATGCCTATATTATGGTGTGGTGCACTCTAATGCCTCCAATATTTTGCAAGTTTTTAAAAACAAACATTTTATAGCATGTTAAGTTATTAAAATTACAAAATTCAACATATTTCAATACAAATTATGATGAATATGGTAAAAAAAAATAGTCAAACATTTCCAATAAAGATGATTTGAGATGTTTCTTCATCTTCTAATTCCATTTTCCTTTTTTAACCTTCACAAGCGATGAAGGTAATTAGGAATTCAATATCAATAAATGATAAAGGGTGATTTGAGCTTGAATATCTATTAACATGCTTATAAAAAAATTCATGTCACCTTCCACGTAACAACATCTGTTAGAAAATTGACAAATCGAGTATTAATGGTTGTATCCTTGAAACCAGCTATTAGAAAAATAAAGTCTTCAATGGCGTTTAAAAAAAGGAATTCCAACATAATATTATATATATATATATATATATATATATATATATATATATATATATATCAAATCTCCATGGCTTTCTTACACGAGAATAACATCAAGACTCGGTTCCATCTGCAACATGTAGTTTAACATCACATACCAAAGTTCTCACAAAGTTTGAAAGATAATCTACCTCTTCTTATAAACAAAACTGAAATATGGTACTTATCACTCTATCAAACAATATGTTGTACACATGAAATCTTTTCTAAAGTCTATTTGTTTGTCTTTCAAATTTCAAGTCCCTAATATTAAGCAATATAAAACTTTTTAAACTTATTTAAATTCAAATCCCCTTATATTTTACTATATCAAATCCGAAATTAAGGAAGCTATTAGACAATATATCATGAATAAATCAATGTCCTTGATTTTTATTCTTCTAAACCAAATTTCAATAATTTAATTATGTAACAATTATTTTCAATTTGAATAGGTTCATATATTTTCATCTATTCTATATAAATAGCTCATATATATAGTTTGTAGCCAAAAAATTTAGCAGTCATCATTTTGGCACCAAATTGAAAATTATTTAAAATTTGTATACATTTAAAATATTATTTATACATAATGGAACATTATAAGTTTACCAATATACATACTATATATAAACATTTGTTTGTAATTTATCATTAAATAAATTGTTTTATTTATTATTTAAATTTTAATATTATCAATAATACATGTGTTATAACCTAGTTTGTGGGTACATAAGTGTGAAAAGTCATACCTATAATTAATGATGCTTCTTCTATTTCAAAAAGATTCACATTAATTCATTAGCTATATTTACTTATGCATTACGAATATATGGGCAAAGAATGTTCGATTCTCAATACTAAAGATTGTAGATTATAACTAATTTGTAACTTTGAAACCAAAAATATTAACCAAAATCCTAAAAAGGGTAAGCTAGCATATTTATCATTTATGCATTAACCATGAGTATGACAACCACAATTCATAAACTCTCAAGCACTTGAATGTAAATCAAAATTAAATAGAAATGCGGTGTGATTTTAGCAATGATATTAAAATTAAGCTACTACAAAGATGGCAGATTATATATATATATATATATATATATATATATATATATATATATATATATATATATATATATATATATATATATATATATATCATTCCGATGCTTCACTCTCTATTCTTTTAGGATTGTGGATAATAAATGGATCAAGTAAAGGCCTTGGGCTTCAAAGGAATAGAGTTTAAAACCTATTGGATGTTGATAATATTGGTTATATGATCTAAGCCTTGGTTTTGTGTTTTGGAGTCAAACGGGAAAATGGGAATGTAATGTTTCGACCTTCCTTTATGGATTATGGTGTTTAGTTCAACATTTGTTAAGCCAAAATTAAGTAGATAAAAGTGTGGGTCTTGTCAATACCTTTTTGTAGATATAAGGATCGCTGAAAACAGAGTTGCAATGAAGAAACTATGATTGCTTGAAGAGGGAAATGATTTAGGCGAAAACTGTAACCACGGAATGGTGTGACGGGACCACGAGGTGGTGGTCACCACAGCGTGGTGAGTCGCACGACGAGGTGGTGGTAGTCGTAGAGTTTTGAATCGAGATAATGAGGTGGTGACGTGTTAGGCCTAACCCATGATTTTAGGGTTTTCAACATGTTTAAGCTTAATGTTCCATATTTTTGTACATTTTATCAGCCTCCACCAACTCTAAGATCCTTTAGGAGAAACCCTAGCCTCCACCTTCAATATTTAAGCCACTCCTCTCTCCTCTCTCATATTTTGGATGGTTTTTATAATATTTTGATGAAACACAAAGATTAAGGAGTTTTTTGTTTGGTTGCAATGAATGATGCTTCAAGCTAGGATCCATCAACGACACAACATATCTGGATTATTGTAAGTATAACATTCCAATCTTGCTCTTTAGTTCTTTAAATCTCTTCATATGTGGTTTTTGAGACTTTTCGTCTATTTTATGGCTGATCTTGGATTTGAGTGGACTTCAACACCTTTTGATTAGTTTGGAGTGTTTCTTGGACGTCATGGACTAGGAAAATATGAACTTTTGCCTTCCCTTTTATTCATGCAAGTTATCTTGGTGCTTTAGGTCATTTTGGTGCAATAAAGTTTAGATCGTAAAGGACTATGGAATTATTATGGATAAAGTTGGAAACTTTATCCATCTAGACATTTTGTGGATTTAGATCTGAAAGTTGGAGACTTGGACTTGATGGATTAAGTTGAGAAAGATGCATTTTTGTGTCCTTTTAAGACTTAAAGTCTAGATCAAGGTGGTTTGGACCACCTTAATGGATAAAGTTGGAAACTTTATCCATTATGAAGCTATTAGTATTCAAATATGATGTTTTAGATTTGGTCCTTATGAATTCAAATATTTTTGAAGAAAATCCTTTTAGATTGAGGACCACTGTATGGTCAAGGAAGGCTATGGTGTGGTAGCAGGACTTATCCCGTTTGTTTTGTCTGGACGTGCCCACAACATGGTAGCAGATTTGGAACAGGATTGGATTGAATGGTCATAGCATGACCATGGGTTGGCCCCGATGTGGGTGCCAATTGGATTGACTTTGACCGTTGACTTTTTGACCATTTACCTTTTGGCGAACCTTAGGTAGCATGGATTATTTGTCTAAGGTCTGGTATCAGTTTGGCTTTAGAAAGCTTGGGTTGCCTGATATGTTGTTGAAGTAGCTGTGAGCTTCCATTAAGTAATTCAGGTGAGTTTCCTTCACTATACTCGTGGGTCAAAGGCACCAATGACGGCCTACTAGATTATGTTGGTAGGATAATAATTGTCTTCATGACAATTTTCTTGTATTGCATGTATATGGTTTTTTTTGTCTTTGTGTCTCTTACTGTTATGATTATATGCTAGCTCTAGGGAGTGAAATAGACCTGATATCGGTTGATAGTGACCGAAAGGGTTGAAATCCACCTAGTACTGATTGAAAGAAATTGCAGGGGTTGAAATATACCTAGTACCGGTTGAAAGAGACCGGAGGGAGTGAAATAGACCCTGTACAGATTTAAAGAGATCGAAAGGGTTGAAATACACCCAGTACCGGTTGAAAGAGACCGAAGGGAGTCAATTAGATCCATTTATGTTTTGACTGTTATGTTTGTATCGTATGGGATATTTTGGGGGAGCTCACTAAGCTTTGTGCTTACCTTTTTTGGTTTTTGTTGTAGGTACATCCAACTCGAAAGGGAAGGACCGGGCTGATCTCACCGTATCCACCAATGTTTTCCGCATTATCTGATTTTAGGATTTGTTACTTATGATGTTATTTCCTATGATAAACTTGCAGTTGTTTTGACATTATTATTGAACATTTTGCAATGAATTTAAAATGAAAATTTTGTCTGAAATTTGTGGGATGTTACAAGTTAGTATTAGAGCCTTGGTCTGAGGGATTCAGGCATACTCTTAGGTGTGTCTGAACTCAAACTAAAAATTTCTAAAATATTTTAAATGAAAATGATTATTTAAGAAAAGGCTTGTGATGCATGCATTCAACCGAGCTCACGTAAGTATTTCCCAAAATACCGATAGACGTTTTATGTTTGATGTTTTATATGAGTATATGTGAAATCCATGCCAGACTAGGCTAAGGATCAGCTTAGGATTGCATGATAGTATGCTAGGAGAGATTCCTGCATATGCCTAGTGTTTGAGCTTTTGGAACTGCATGCTTGTATGAATTCATATAGAGGATAGAATGTCCTGATTACTTTATGATTTAGTTTGGATAACTCGATGATCGAATGCTGCTTCCTTTGTGCTTTTAGATACATCCACTAATATCAGCTAACTATTAATTGAATACATAAGGTTACATGTTATAGGAATTAGATAATTTTAGAAGGCTAGGTTTAACTTTATTTCACAGCACTTGTCTGAGTCCAACCGTTGTAGGGCGAGATGGGACAGTCAAAGAATTATCTAGTGCATCTGGCATGTAAATGTATTCATGAGGTAATTAGTATGTACTAAAGTTAGTTTCTTCTATAGTTGATGGAAGAGAGTAGTGTGAAGGAAATCCTAGGAAAGCCTAGGGAGTATGTTTAGCTTGATGCTCGTGCTGTTTAGCGGTGTGTATTCATTTGGGAATGGGTGTATGGGATTGGATAGGATGGATGCGAATAGGAGTATTTCCTTAGAGGACCCAGTATGGTTCTTGAGGAAAGTGTGGATAGGTATGGAATGTAGTATTAGACCCATACAACTAAAAGCACATGATCCGTACTCGAATCAATGAAATTTTTGGGGCTAAAGGAGCTAATTGAAGGTAGATTGTATAATTTGGC